CCTCCTCCTCCTCCTCCTCCTTCTTCTTCTATGCAGGGACTGTCTGTCTCTTAATTTATCTCTCTCTTCCAATCTTTCTATCTCTTTCTCTGTGTCTCTGTGTGTCTGTCTATCTGTCTGTCTGTCTCTCTCTCTCTCTCTTTCTCTCTCTCAGACTGGCATACTGAGGGGTTTCTTTACACATCCATGGGGTCAGGGGAGGGGAGGGGACCCTGGCTGACTTTTTCTCTAATGCGCTTTGACTCAGAGCCAGCTCACTCATTCATTCATCACCTTTGTCATCTACTTTGTCTCAGCACGCTGGGGGACTTCCGGGTATCATGATGTCCAGAGCAGAAATGGTAGCTTCCTAAACATGGGGCACTTGGGGTGCCCAGCTGTGGCTCTGCTTTTTGGAAAGACTAGGCTCTCCAGACCTTGCTTCAGAGAGCAGGCCACATTTGTGCATTTTCAGCACCTGGAACAGCTCCCAGCACAGCCCCAATGCTGCAGGGTGACAAGTGCCTCTGTTGGGGACATTGAGGTTAGGGACCTGTTAACTCATCAGATGATCCTTGTTGATAAAAAGATGGTGTTTTCTTCCCAAGCATGTGGGTAACCCACCTGCCCTCAGCCTCTGTGTGTTCTGCCCACTTGCCTCTTGCCTTGAACTTAGCCTCTTTGTCCACTGCTACTTCCTTCTGCTGTAATGACATGGCCCTCAGGTTCCAGGATGACTAGCAACCTGGAGGGTGAAGAGGGTAGCATTCTGGTCAGTGTAGTTCCACCCTGGCTTGCCAGCATTGTCCAAGGATTACATGGGAGCTCCAGAAGCTTCAGGATGAGATTTTTCCCATTAGGAAAGGCTCTACGTTATCCCTGGGAGGTGTGTTTTGTGTTTCCAGCTGTGACTGGCTGTGACTGGTTGGTGGCAGTGTGGGGGAAGGGGAAGGGTCTTCATCAGTGTGTGACTAGCATGGATTGAGGATGTGGAAGTAAAAGACGGCTATGTAAGGTTGTGTTGGGGTCATGCAGTGAGCACGCATGTGACACATGTTGACAGCTCCCTGTGAGAGGAGTCTAGTTTCACCTTGGCAGGTGTTCGGGTATTCACCATGCTGTGAATTCTGATGTTGATCTATGCACTGACAATGCATGGTGCTGGGATCCATTTCTCTTGGCCTCTGGTGACTGCTAATTAATTGACCTGCTCCTCTGAGGAGCAGAGGAGAGAGTGGCCAGCACTCCAGATGGTGCCATGGTTCAGGCTGGCTGGGAATCTGGGTGACTGGATTCAGGAAACGGGTCACACACACAGCAGGGCTTGGGGCAAGCTGACAGGAGCCTTCTGATTTTGCCTTCTTCACAGCACAGTTCTGACTCTGGGGTTCAAACAAAAAACTTGAAATGAGGGAGGAGGGAGAGGCAGAGGACACCAGAGAACAGGGACACTGTCACCGAGAGCAGCCATATTGTCAGTGCATGGCCCAGCCCCTGGGGCCTGAGAGCTTCTGATCCTACACTGGGGCTAAAGACAGAGCTGCTTACTATACATGCTATGTCCTCCTTCCCTCGCTCCCTCCCTCCTCCTTCTTCCTTTCTCCCTTCTTCCCACTCTTTCTTTCCTTTCTTTCTCTCTTTCTTTCCTTTCTTTCTCTCTTTCTTTCCTTTCTTTCTTTCATTCTTTTTCTTTTCTTTTCTTTCCTCCCATTCTTCCTTCCCCCTCTCTTTCTTCCTTTCTCTCTTTTTCTTCCTTTCTCTTTCTTTCTTCCCTCCTTCCTTCATTTCTCTGTCTGTCTGTCTGTCTTTCCTTTTTGAGACAGGGCTTTACTGTTTAACTCAGTCTAACCCTAAACTCACTATGTAGACCAGTCTGGCCCTGAATTCACAGAGATCCACCACCTTCTGCCTCCCAAGTGCTAGGATCATAGATGTGTAACCACCATGCCTTGTCTTTGCTTGCTTCTTCTTGATGGTTGCCCCTCTCCTTTCTTCTCTGTGGCTGGCAACCCTGGTGACTTTTTATATCTCCCAAGACTGAGCACCAAGGCCATATACTTGGACAGATGTCCCCTGTTTGAGGAGGAATCACAGAGAGAGCTCATGCTTGGGTTTTAGGAGGTGTGAACACTTGGTGGATGATCAGGCAGGAAATGAAGGTTTGTTTTTCTGAGCCAGGATCTCAGTGTATAACTGAGGCTACCTTGAGCTCGTGATCCTTCTGTCTCTTCCTCCTGAGCTGAGACCCAGTTCACTATCACACCCCTGTCCAGGAATCCATCGAATCTGTATGCCTGCTTGGTCAATCTGGAATTGTGTCACAAGAAAAACTGAAAATAAATGTGGCCAACAACAACTTTAAGAAGGTTTTCAGCCTTATTAGTAGTCAGAGAAATGTAAATAGAAATAATTAATTAGAAATGTAAATTCAGGCAAAAGTTTTAAGGTACCAGTTTTATGCCATTGTGGCTACAGGGAAGTAGATGGCCACTGGCTAGGTATGTTTATAGGACAGTGTAGCATTTCTTCTCAGCATTTTAAAGTGTGAAGAACCGGGCTATAACACGTGTTCAAGGGATTTATCCTGCAGGAACACACATTTGTTAACAAGCAGCATATCCAGTCTCTGTAACAGCCACACACAGTAAGTACATAATACCACACCTCACAGGCAAACAACACACATCATGGGCAGGTACTGGGTGGTCTGAGCCAGATGTGACGCTGGGCCCTTGCAGGCAGGGATGGTGCAGAATTAATCTAGTTATGTTAGAGGCCTAGGGCAAGTACTCATGTGCGTATGAAAATGGGAACACGGTGCAGGTAGGTATGCAGAGGTGAGGGCATTGAGTGTACTTCTGTGCAGAGCTTGTCCCTTGGTCTTCTGGTTCAGATCCCACAGAGTGTACCACATGGGTGAGTATGTGGCTACACCCCTTGGGGCTGAGTCATTGATCAGCTGGCCATCAACTCCCCTCGGGCTCTGACTGTACTCAATGCTGAGTTTCTTTGGGTTGAGACTCTCCTCTGTCTTCTTCTCCTAGTTGGTGGCAGCCATTGTGTTCCTCAGCTTTGGGGTGGTGGCGGCATTCTGCTGTGCCATAGTCGACGGCGTGTTCGCAGCACGGCACATTGTGAGTACTGCCTTTGACTGGCCCGCAGTCTGTCTCTAGGGCTCTGTGTCCATGTAAAAAACATCTCAGTCACACAGCTGGGCTCTGACATCTTCACACAGGCTCCAGGTGAGCTGCTGTCACCGTCCTCCTCTTGCTGAGTCTGGCCCCAGCAACCCAAATCCTCTGCCTCTCACAGGTCACATATGTACGGCAAGCACAAACACATACCACACACAGAAGACACAAATACAACCACACACAGCAGATACAAACACACACACCACACACAGCAGACACACACATATGATATGCAGCAGATAGAAACACACACAGCCACACACAGTAAGTACATAATACCACCCCTAGCAGGCAAACAATATACACTATACACAGCAGACACAAATACACAGCAGATAGAAACATACACATCACACAGCAGATGCAAGCATCCTTCATCATTTTATTAACTGTCCTCTCTCCCACCCCTCCCCCCCAGAACTAGAGAACTCTTGTCCCTGCTTCTCAGTTTTGGAGCTCTGTGTCCAGGGGGCTGTCCTCAGCCTCCCACCACACTAAACACGCCTTGAAATCTCAGACTCTGCTCTTGTTTCATGGTTTCTCTTCAAAGACTGTTGCTTAATAGGGGGCCACATATATAAAATAGAAACCTTTTTATCTACAAAAGGACTTTAGGAGGATGTAGAGAGTCCTACTAGTGACGTAATTATGAACAGAGAAGAAGAAAGAGGAAGAAGAGGAGGGGGAAGAGGAAGAGAAGGAGGAGGAGGAGGAAGAGGAGGAAGAAGGGAGCAAGAAGGAAGAAGAAGAAGAGGAAGAAGAAGAAGAAGAGGAGGAGGAGGAGGAGGAAGAAAAGGAGAAGGAGGAGGAGAGGAGGAGGAGGAGGAGGAAAAAGAAGAAGAAGAAGAAGAAGAAGAAGAAGAAGAAGAAGAAGAAGAAGAAGAAGAAGACGACACTGCCCGTGTCTGTGTTTCATTGGTAGCCAGTCTGAACTTTGCCCCCACAGTGAGCAGCCATGCTTATTCACCTGTTTAACCACTGCAGGGTCAGGCAGGCTCACAAGTGCCACAGGCAAATGAACCAGCCAGGGTTCTGGCCTAATAGAGGAGACCGAAACATCTCAGAAAAAAGTACATCCAGTACGTCACGTGACAGACTAGGCTGTGGTGTGTGCTGTGACGTGACTGATGTGGCACAGTAGAACATGTGTCAGGTGTGATACAGTGGCTGGAAGATAATAACTGCACAGTGATGTCAGAGGACGTGACGTCATACAACATGTCGTGATATGCAGTGGGACATATGTACAATGTGATCTGAATGACATGTACTTGCCATGGTGTGGTGTGGTATGATGTCCTGTGACACAGGAGATGAACGTAGCATGATACGGTGTGATGTGCTCATATAGTGTATATGGTGTGACATGAGGTATGAGGAACACTATTATGACATAGTGGTGTGACTTTGTATGCACCATTCTAACCTCGTGGAAATTCTGTGCGAGTGTATTTGCGTGTCTGAACACATGTGTATGAGTGCACAAGCGTGTGTAGCTCCTCCAGTACCTGCAGTTGTGTGTTTAGGCATCTGGCCATCTGCACATAGACTACAGCGTTCCCCAAAGTATTTACCGACATTGCTTTAAGATTCTGTCCCTGGGTAGAGTATGGTTTTCCTTCGCAGCTCTTCAGCACTTGGTTGAGAGAAATCACCTTCCAAAGACTTCTGTCGCCAGGTACATAGTCGCTTGTTTGCAGCCACAGGTGTGAAAGGACCTCGCTCACCTTTCTGGCTTCATTGATGAGAAGAGTCTAAGAGGCAGATCTGTCTGTGTGGCCACCTGTTCCTCCCTGCATGTATCCATCTGAGCATGCCCAACTATTATACCCATCCCCGTGCACCTGGTTGTGTGGGGTGATTGGTCAGTCTTGCACCTCTGAAGAGTGGCCAGTGTAGTGAGAGTTCAGCAGAGGGTACATGAGCAGTAAAGCTGGGCCCCAAATCACAGCATCATCAGTCACCTGAAGGCCTAGACCCCCGGTATCCTATGGAGAGTTACAGTTCTGTGGGTGGGTGGGCAGAGTCCTGGTGACTCATTGAGGTCCACCCTCTGAGGCCACTGATATCATGCAGATGTACACTAAGCTGCTACCACGTGAGAAGATGGTGGGAAGACTCCATTCCCACTTTACACCATCATCTCTCCCTGAAAAGTCCACTGGGGAAGGATCTGTGTCTTGCCATTTTGTGATGAAGGCCAAGTAAGTCTGACATCCCTGAAGCATCCTCAGAGCTTGTGAGCCAGCTCTCAAGCCCCAGCTGTAGCCTCCTGTCTCCACTGTCCTCCCTGCATCACAATCCCACCTGTTCCCGACATGCACCACCTGGGCCAACGCCTCCCGTATGAATCCATCCACACCTAGCCTGGGACACACACACACACACACACACACACACACACACACACACACACACGCAGAGGTGCTATGCCTCACCATACCTGCTTTCTGATTCTCGTGCCTGTCTTTGTCTGCTGTCAGCATTACTGGAGGTTTCTAGACTCCTCTTAGGTCAGAAGTGGTGCTTTGAGAAATGTCACTAATATATAATAATGAACCCAAAGGAGAATTTACAGATTCTATGGCTTTATGACAGTCTACAAGTCCCAGGACCCAGCTGTCTGTCTGCTGCCTTAGCAACTGCCTACTCATGAGTCTGCCCCTCATTCACCCACAGCTCTAGCTTACCCTGGCTTCCTCATGGTTCAACACTTATGTCAGTTCCATGAATGTTAGAGACACAGAGTTGGGGACATGGTGAGGTAAGACATTGATGAGCTTATGTCAAGTGGTGGGGCGTGGCAGATGGAAGGCTGCACGGATGATTGGCTGGATGCGTAGGTGACTGAATGGCTGGATGCATAGGTGACTGGATGGCTAGATGCATAGGTGACTGAATGGCTGGATGCATAGGAGATTGGTGACTGGATGCATAGGTGACTGAATGGCTGGATGCATAGGTGACTGGATGGCTAGATGCATAGGTGACTGAATGGCTGGATGCATAGGTGACTGAATGGCTGGATGCATAGGAGATTGGTGACTGGATGCATAGGTGACTGGATGACTGGATGCATAGGTGACTGAATGGCTGTATGCATAGGTGACTGGATGGCTAGATGCATAGGTGACTGAATGGTTGTATGCATAGGTGACTGGATGACTGGATGCATAGGTGATTGAAAGACTGGATGAATATATGGGTACTTTGGATAGATGAATGAATTAGTCCCAAATCTTCCTTGTTCCTTCCTAGAAGAAATTTGTTTTGCTTTTAGAAAGACAGAAAAGCCTACTGCCCCGGCGAGGTCTAGAACACCTCTTGGCCCAATCAGCAGCACGTTCCTTGTCCTTGTGCCGATGTCTGCCCAGCAGATAGATGGAGGGTATCTGTAATCCTTTCCCCTGTGGACACCACACACAATTGCTATGGCAAGCAATAGCTCGTGTGGCCTCAGTTCTGCTCCAGTTCACGGAAGGCAAGTCTAAAATGGCCACTCCTGGTTGGGGATAACCAGTCCAACCCATCTACATTTATTTCTTTAGGAACCAAGGCCTCTCAGTGCAGGAAGATGCCAGTTTTACTCCAGTGGGACTGGGTACTTGTATGACGTCTATCAGACAGAGGTGAGTCCCTTTGGCAAGCATGCCTTCCACATCCCCCTTCTGTGTCTGGTTAAAATGGCTATATTAATTCACACAGATCTTCTCCTGTGTGGACATCAAGGCATCGAGAGCTAGGCGCTAGCCTTGAGAGTTCAGTGTCTGGGGTTCTCTTGGGAATCGCAGCTGCACACTTTCCTCTCTGACACAATGTTAGCACAGTGTTAGGATTCATCTCCCTAGCCCTGTGTGGTCAATTAGCATTCCATTAGCATTTTCACTAACTTAATCACTTCGGTAACACATGTGCAGTGTTCAGGGGATTCTCTGGCTCTCTGGGCTGGGGCAGCTGAAGTATGACCTCACTCTTTACTTATGTGAGATGCCAGGAAGAGCAAGCGCACACAGCAGCTGACCTGTGAGACCAGCCCAGGTGGGTACTGGCAACGTGGTTCAGTGGGGGATGCTCCACGCCAACGCTGTGGAGATTAATGTTGGTTCAGCTAAACAAGGCTGCTCACACCGAGTGCCCAGTCCAGGGCGAGGCTGGAATCAGGAAGGCAAATGGGTCACAGATTCTCTCATCGGTATGTTCTATGGTCTTCGGACCAGCAGAAGGTTGAAAATGTATGTGCTGGGCATTCCAGAAAAGAACTGTCTGCGTGCTGTGAAGGATGGGCTGAGATTCTGACAGCCCTGCCTTGCCCAGGTCGGCTCTGCTCTCATCTGTCTAGTCCTGTCCAGTCCCATTTTGCCCTGCCCTGCCTCACCCTCCCTGTCCCATCTTGTCCCACCCTACCATGGGTCAGTGAGTATTCTGGCAACTCAGCCCTGCTCCTGGGCAGGAGAAAGTGTTGGACATAGGCCGCCCACTTTGTAGGCTAAGGTATGAACCTGGCTGTCACTCTACCCCAGGTCACCTGCTACTCTTTGAACGGAAGGTGCCAACTGAAGGTGAAGAGCAACACATGCTACTGCTGCGACCTCTATGCCTGTGGGAGGTAAGGCTGCATCCGGAGTCTGTGTGCACACATGTAAACATGCTCAGCATGTAAACACACACATACACGTGCGTGAGCACGAGACAGACCCTGCGCAGGACAACTGTCCGAGAATGAGCGAGGCCCCCACTTCTTCCTTCCCGTATCTGCTTGCACTTCCTGTTTCTTCCCTCTGGATCTAGTTTCAGCATCAAAATGGCAGGTTGGTTGGGTTTCCACCCAAGGGCGCACGGTGTGTGGAAATACCCGAAGGTTCCAGAAGGACCACATACCTTGAGGCAGCTGGCCACCAGGTGGCAACCAACACATTCCAGCTGCATGCTGCTCCGCTCCCCCTCAGGGCTGAGACCCACCTACAGCTTTTTGTTGTGATACACATGGGGAACGAAAACAAAAACATTTGCTTATTATTCTGGCATGAAGGGTAGCTCAGCCACTGTAGCTCCAGTTGGCTATAAAGGGCCCAGAGCTGGTAATTTAGGATGTCCTGTGTCCATTTTACACCTCACTGTGAGGCCTGGCAGAGCCTCCCTGACCAGCCCCACCAAAGGTAGATGAATCCCCAGAGAAGCAGGGGTCTCTAACTTGTTTGAGATGTTTTCACCTGTGTAAGAAGAGACCAGCACTAGAAGAGCCAGAGGCCTTGGGCACTAGGAGCTCCAGGGTTTGTGGCACGGCCTGTCACCTGACTGTGATCTGATGATGAGGGCAGTAACATTTTTCCCTCCTACAGCACCGAGCCCTCACCTGCCTACTATGAATTTGTGGGTGTGCGGAGCTGTCAGGATGTAGTCCACCTGTACCGGCTGCTCTGGGTATCCACAGTGCTGAATGTACTGGGCCTGTGCCTGGGCATTATCACAGCTGCTGTCCTAGGGGCCTTCAAGGACATGGTGAGTGCTGTCTTCCTATGTGTTTCCAGCCGGTCAGTCCTAGCCCAGAGTTCAGGACCTTCCCCTTCAAGAGGGCTCAGCGGCTCCCTTGACAGAGGAGGACCCAAATGCCAGGTGATCTGCATGTCAGGTGGCAACTAGGACTACCAAGCAGTGGTTCTGGAAATGGCTCCTGGCAACCCGCTGGGTGAATCTTCTACCACCCTCGTAGGCAGGAAGAACTTGTTGCCATCTAAGAACAAAACTTTACTCTGTCACTGTGGGATTCATGGCTGCCTGGGCGTAGTGGTTCTGGGTAGGGCTTAGACCCCATTTTAACACGCTGAATGAGAGCTGAAATTCACCCCTACCTACTTCTCTCTGAGCCAGCCCTACTGAATCCACCCTTGAGCCCTAGCCGCTGTCCTAACACCACTGGTAGAACCTCCCTTCTGTCCTCTCAGGGTCCATGGCTAACCCTTTAGGGTTTCTTCCAAGTCCAAGGGCCACGGCCTGAGTGATTCTTGTTTTGCTCATCCTGCGGTCCCAGGGGTGTAGGCCATTGGTTTTGGTCTTCAGCAGCACCCCAGAACTCAACTCTTCCTTCTCAGGTTTCTTGTTGCTAGGGAAATTTAGGGGATGTCTTGGGAGGTCCCAAATTCCCACAGTCTAGTCCCTGGGGTCTACCAGGTTGCCTCTTCAGGCTCCAGGTGATGACTCCAATCTAGAGACCATGTGTAGAGGATGCTGGACATTTCTGTGAAGTCATGAAGAGAAGACTGGCCTACTCTTCATGGCTTGCGTTAGGGCTCCGCAGAAGGCCAGGCTGCAAGTCTGACAAGTACCTTGGGTGGCTGTAAGGGTTAGGTGGTCATGCCCCTGCCTCTCTTCACAGGTCCCTCTGTCTCAGCTGGCCTATGGCCCATCGCCACCACCTCAGATCCTCTACAACCCTGCCCAGCAGATCCTAGCCTACACTGGCCTGTGCCCTCCATCTATGAATGTGCCAACCTGTTCCTCCTATCCTCTACCACTACAGGTAGGTGTGCTGTGATGTCGGTAGTTATTTCTGTGGGCTTCTGAGTAGACAGGGTAGGGCTGTGGGTAGAGACGGATGGACTTTGATGCAGATGATAGGGAAGAGATCCCTTGAGGCTGGGTCATGTCATTTTTGAGGCTCGTTGCTGCTCGTGGCAAATGTTATTTCTGTAGCTGTTTATTTTAACTATGAACTGGCCTCATACCGGCAAGGGGGACTTAGGATGCTAACAGCTGCCTGTTATACAACTTGTAGACCAGTGAGTGTTCTACGAGGAGCCAGGTGTTTGCCAACATGCTGAATTCTATCTACAAAGATGTCAACCCTGTAGAGCTCATGCGTTCATTGCTACAGACCCTGAGAACATCAGGGGCGTGGTCTGAAGTGAGATCCTGTTTGAACAGAGCTTTGCTTCTTCTATTTCCTCTCTTGGCTTTGGCTTCTTCATGTCTTCTGAAGCTCTGCTGGCCACGGGTAAGATGGCCCCAGTGGTACTGTACTGACTTGGACTTGCCATTGTGGATTTGTGGGGCTGTGATCCTCCTGGCTATGTCATGTAGAGACCCCTAGTCGTGACAAGTGAATCATCTGTAAATGTTGCCCAGTGTCTCTTGTGGGGAGATTGAGATCCCAGGTCTAGACAAACCTTTCTAAGTGGGACGATGCCTGCTCACGCAGCCTGGCTGGCCTGCAGCCTGGCTGGTAGGTGGCTTGTCTTACGGCACCAGCAGAAGCAGTTAGGAGACTCCCAGAGCTGTGCTAATTAAAGGTCTGTCATCACGCATCATGTCATCGTTGAATTGAGTTTCTTTGACCTGTGGGCCTGGTGAATGGGGTGAAATCATCTGTTTTGAAGTCACAGGTCCTCAGGTATTCCCCAGGAGACCTCTGTCTAACGTGCCATACCGACATGAAGTATGAGGCCTTGCCAAGCAAATGACAGTTTGGGAAGGACATGAATGTCCAGCTCTGACCATCTTGGATGGAAAGAGCTTCCAGAGTCCTAGGATTGACCCCACATCGTGACCAGGTGTGAGCAGCACTTGGGAGTCTTGTGACCATCGGGGGTCCACATTTGTGAAGTGAGAGATGACAAGTGTGTAGAGCTGGAAGAAGACATGGGAGCCCCCTAGTGTCTGGGACCCTAAAGTACAGCTTCATTCTGTTTTCCAGAGCTCACTGGTGCCCTGGGCTCAGAGAGTGAGGTCACCGTATTGCTGTTCTGCCCCTGCAAGGGCAGCTCCCTTTTCTCTGTCCCCCAGCTTCCTCTGACTGCCTAGACATGGAGCTGGGGCTGTAATTCCTGAACTGCTTGGGTCCTTTGGGCTCTGGAGAAGGGATGCTGCGGTGGTTCATTGCAATGTCGGGGAGTGGGTCTGGTTTTTCAGTGTGACACCCCCAGGCTGTGCTATTGGGGCTTCACAAAAGAGAACTGGACCTTCATCCATGAGAACTACAGGAATGCCTAATCAGGGAACATAAGGCCATTTAGGATAAGGTCTGCTCGGGACTGAATCTCTCCTCTCTGGAACATTGGAGGCAGCTATGTCCAGGATCAGGAAATCAGACGGTCCTGGTGATGACTCCAAGGGCAGCTGAGCTGGTAGCACCAGCAGAAGCTGCTGCAGCTCCAAGGTCTCTGCCTTTCGATGCAACTTCTGTGTTGGCTCCAAGAAGGATCTCCTCGGTCTCCATTCCAGGAAGGATGCTATCACCTCAGGCTGCAGCTCATCCTGAAACCCTGCTCTGCTGTCCTGGTCCTTTGGCAAATCCACACATGCAAGACTTAGTACTGTCTCTTGGTAGACCTGATAGGGTTCCCTTAGCTGCTCTGGCTGCCTTTAGACACAGAGACCTACCAAATCTCAAAGATGCCAAGATCGCGATTCCAGAGCTCAGCCTGTGCAGACAGTGTTTTCTTTCAGAACACCGGATGCTCCAGAGGGGATGGTGATGAGCGCGGGATGTGTGGTCCCATTTCCTCCTGCCTGGAGTCCGTCCTGCTGCCTTCCCGCCTCTCGGTCTTGAAGGCCTGGTCTAATGAAGAATGGACAGCTGTGGAGGCCTGCTGGCCTGCTCTCACGGGATGAGATTCCCCATGAGGTACTCTTCCCTGTTTCAGATGGAAAAGGACAAATACCCCATGTGGTGACACATAAGACACAGTCCTTCACCACAGATACACTTTTGGGAACCTAGAAGATGACTTACCAAGTTCCATGGACACTTGCTCTTCTACTTTCTGGGACCTTTGTGTTTTCAGAACGGAGGCTTCCTTTCCTCCCAGAGGAGGGCCGAGACCCCGCCCTCTGGGCTGAGACCCCGCCCTCTGATCCAAGACCCCGCCCTCTGGGCCGAGACCCCGCCCTCTGAGCCAAGACCCCACCCTCTGGGCTGAGCATCTTTCCTCGTGGCAGCATGTATGAGAGTATAATTGCACACATGTTTAGTAATCAGATTTCTGTGGAAACAGGCATATCAGATAAGCCGTGTGATCCCTCGGAACAATGAAACGAATGCTTTCTCCACTGGCCAACAGAGACAGAACGAAATATTTTAAGTGTCCTGTCAAAGTCATTAGCAGCCAGCAAACATCGTTGCATAATAGAAGGGAGTGAGATGGCTATTGAGGGTGTAAACACGCAAAACCCCCAAAATGTTGAAGGGGTCGGTACCTAACCCAACAGCTTGCCCAGCATGACAGCAGAGGTTAGCTTGAAGGGCATTTCTGGGGCAGCAGTCCCTTCCCCTGCTGTGTTGGCAGGACTGCCTTTATGGGGCCTTGTTTAGTGAGGTGCTTTCCTCCAAGTTTCCCAGTGGTTTGCTCTGTGTTCCTGGTGGTTTATCTTGTGGCTCGCTCCTGGTGGTTTATCCTGTGATTCCTGGTGGTTTGTCCTGTGGTTTGTGGTGGTTTATCTTATGGTTCCTGGTGGTTTGTCCTGTGGTTCCTGGTAGTTTATCCTGTGGTTCCTGGTGGTTTATCCTGTGATTCCTGGTGGTTTGTCCTGTGGTTCCTGGTGGTTTATCCTGTGGTTCCAGGTGGTCTATCCTGAGGTTCCTGGTGGTCTATCCTGTGGTTCCTGGTCGTTTATCCTGTGGCTCCTGGTGGTTTATCTTGTGGCTCCTGGTGCTTTATCCTGAGGTTTCTGGTGGTTTATTCTGTGGTTCCTGATGGTTTATCCTATGGTTCCTAAGGGCTTGTTCTGTGGTTTATAAGGGCTTGCTCCATGGCTTGTGCATCTGCCTATTTTCAGAAAATAGTGGAGTGGACAGGGCAAGAAGCCCATCCTAGTAGATCTAAGAGGACAGTCTCTAGGCATGCACTGCCCCTGTGCTCATAAAGATGCACACACAGACTAAGGGGAGAAACGAGAAGATTCGAGGGCCAATAGTGAAACTTTTTGTGAAATTTGTCTCCAGTCAGGGAGACATTCTCAGCTTCCAGTCTTCCTTCCTTGGGAAGAAGTGACTTTGGGACAGACATGCTGCCAGATCCTGACTCCAGCATCAGGAAAACATGGCTAGCTGGCAGCCAGGGGAGCATCATACAGCACACAGGAATCACTTTAAAAAACACATCTCAAAATTCACTTTATTTAAATACTGATTTTAAGTTTTAAACTTTTGGTACTTAAGAAGGGAAAAGAAAAAAGAAAACACTAGAGAAGATTTATTTCAGACCAGTGCTACTCCCCAAATTTTTCTTCTCATATTAACTTTGATCTTGGAGTGTTTATTGTGGTGTCAGAGATACAACCTCAGCAAATACATATATAGAGATTTGTTTTTACTGTTTTTAAAGATTTATTTATCATGTATACAGCATTCTGCCTTCATGTACACCTGCATGTCAGAAGAGAGCCTCAGATCTCATTACAGATGGTTATGAGCCACCATGTGGTTGCTGGGAATTGAACTCGGGACCTCAGGAAGATCAGCCAGTGCTCTTAACTGCTGAACCATCTCTCCAGTCCAATGGTCCACTCTCCTCAGGACCAAGGAAGTACTGTTGGGACTGTAACCCATGGTCACACTTGGGCAAGTTTCTTTCTCCTTGAGGGCCTCTGTCTTTTTTTCTTAAGGTCTGCAACTGATTGAACCAGGTATCCCAACAGTATAGAGGGTACCAGCTTACTAAGTCACTGATTAATGTTAATTACATCTGAAAAATACCTTCCTTAAACTACTAGATTATGGCTGTCCATATTTGACCACTGCCATAATAACCACCGTGCTGTGTTGGGAGTGTTAATGGTCTTGCTGTCTTTAGTGAGTGCCAAGGTCCTGGTTGTAGGTTATCCCTGGTTCTTCTCGTCAGTGCTAATAAAAGCTGACTGGGGTAAGCAGGCCAACCAAGCCAGGAGTTTTGAGACCTTCCTGTGTCCCCAACAGCTTTAGAAGCCATGTTTTTGCCAATCAAATGCCGTCCAGGCTGACACTTGACCTCTCTTGGCTGTTCTAGGCTTGAGAGACTTCCTGAGAGGCCCGATGAGCCGGTGGCTCCTGGTCTGGTAGGGTGCTGGGTCAAGGTGGTGCTGGCGTATATTCTGGACAGTGTAGCTGAGATCCCCCACCTGCTGATCGAGGACGCCTCTCTGTTTAATTGCAGCCCTCCAGTGCCCCGCCGGCCTCGTCCTCTGCTGACCTCTCTCTGCCTGAGGACACAGAGTCTCCCTCCCAGTGCCACTCCAGCCACGGCCATCCCCATATCCCTTCACGTTGCACACCGGCCTACTTCCTCCCAGGGGAGAAGCCTCCCCCCTACGCACCCTGACGCGGAGGAGGTAGTAGACTAAAAAGCAACATGGTTTGGGGTTTCCAGAAATACAACAAAAATAATAAAGCCACAACCAGACAGCCGCTTCTGCTGCCAGCCTCGTAGAGAATTCAGGAAGCATCGCAAAGCTGTTGCCCTTCCTTTGGGGACATCCTCTCCAGCACAGGCCAGGAGCAGAGCTAGCTAGCTGACTGGCCTCCCACCACCTCTGCTGTCCATCACCTCTCCCTACATGAAGACCACCAGCAGCAAATCCATACTAGACGCCAGCCTCCTCGTCTGGAAGGGCTTCTCTGCATCCGCCCATCGCCCGTAGCTCTGTTTCACCCTTACCATGGTCATGGCTAGTTATCAGACACTATCACCCTGCAAAGAGAAGGTAGCCAGGCATTTCTTTAGGTGAGGATTGTTCCTTTGGGAAACGCGTTACAGGTAGACAGACTTCTGTGAGCATGTCTCTGAGAAGGGACTGCCGGAACCGAACCGCCAAGTTCTACGTTTCTGATGTGAAGGAAACAAGCTTTTGAGTTCTGCCTCTCTGATAGCTCCCCCTTCTGGTCGACTCCAGACCTCACACTTGCTTTTCCCTGCAGTGCGCTGTTGATTTGTGGCCACTGGTTCAGTCATTGATTAGCTGTTTTGTGGCCCACCTTTTCCCTCTCTAAGGTCCAGAACTAGCAGGTTAAGGTAGAGGACCTGCAAAGATGTGGCTCCTGGGCTCCCTGCTGGCCAAGGTCACTCTGTCCAACAGAAGATCTTACAGAAGCAGGCTAGAAGAGGTTTTCTGAACAGTTTCCCACAAAGGCCCACAACACAGGTCCAAGCAGGGAGGTGATGGGTCTGTCTGTGCAGAAGATGTGCTGCAAAAACCCAAAAGCCGCCCACTGGTCCCTGAAGTGCTGAGACAGCCATTGGTCTGAGGACTGCTAGCTATGCACGGTCCTTATTACTGAGTTTGGCCTTGGAGCCTGAGGATGAGAGGGTCTTGGTTTTTGTTGGATGCTGACTGACCTTGGATCCAGCACAGTCTAGCTTCCCTACACTCTCCAGGAGCCTGCCCTCAGCCTCCCTAGGACCCTGGAATCAATATCAATAATGTTCTGCCAACTTATATTGATGTACTAAGATATTTAATGCTTCCTAGAACCACGGGTTCAAGGCCATTGTGAAAGTCTCCTTAAAGTTGCACTTGGGGCAGCAAGCCAAAACCCTCTCTGGACTTTGAACAGGGCCTTGGGCAATGCTCCTCAGCGGGGTCAGGGGTCAGTTGGCTCTGTCCCCTGCCTTGGCATGTTTCCAGAGTGCACAGTTAAGCAGGTCTCACAAGGGACATGCTCCAGTGCTGGCTGAGGAAGGTCGCATCCTACACAACAATGGCAAGATTCCTGTTCCTTGTGGGGGTGAGGTTCAGGAAAATGAGGGTGGCCAGAGGCACAGAGAGGTATCCTTGATAAACATGCACATAGTAGGCTCCCCCCACCCCGCTCCTGCTCCCAGGACTGAGATAAAGGTTGCCCCGTCTGTATAGTGATTGTATAGAGAAGAGAAGAGCTAAGTTCTGGAGGCTGCTGGAAGTAAGAGTCTGTAAGACATCAGCACCTCCCGGTTACAGGACTTCACACCCTCTCCCTAGCTATTCTTAAATTATGTCACCCTGTTTTGTATTCAGTAGTCCTATGTTCCGGGTCCAAGGGGTTCTACTTCTGAACATAAAGCTGGCCCTGGGGCCTTCTTAGAACAACAAAACTGCTTGTCTGGGTATAGAGCCCATGCCCACTGGAGCCAGGAACTATTAAGAAATATTGAACTCCCAAGGTCAACCATCTTGCTCCTTGCCACAAGAATGTCTGTCTTCCTCATCCCTGCCACAGAGAATGTAAGGCCCTGCATCCCAGTCTCCAGAGCAGCCCCTGTAACCCACACTAATCTATAGTGTGGCCAGATACACCGACAGGGTCCTTGCCTTTGTGTGGACGAGGCTGGGAAGCCAGCTGGAGCCTGTATGTTCAGTGGTTCATCCCTCAATGGCTTTGCCTCTTCGAATTGTGCTGCCCGAGGGTCTGCCCTGTGCTTGGCTTCTGCTCTGGGTGGTGAAGTTTGCTCGTGGCCATTCATTTTGTCACCGAATCTATCAGTTGCAGCTGATTTTGAGTTGATGGGAGATGGGGTTATTTCTGGGTCTGTGCTATGGTACCCGCTGAGCTCCTTCACCTTACCAGATCGGCCTGAGTTGGGGTTCCACTTGTACCATCTTCCCTGCAGGTCACTGAGCCATTATAGCCCTGCTAAGACCCAGTAGCAATAGTGTGGCCATAGATGGCATTGGTCCGAGGGCATGCCTCTGTGTGCGTGTCCCTTCTGATCAGCAGAAGCTGTTCTACTGGGCCTGCTTGGGTCCTCTGCTTGCATCTCTCTTGGTTGGTCCCTCTACCTGTAAGAAGTCATTGTCTATTCTGGACAAGGGACCCTGTGATCCTGGGTGTCTCCAGTATCTTCCAGTGAGATCACTTAGCCTTCTGTTTCAATGTGTGATCTGCAGGATTTGTGTGTTTTGGAAAATACAGTAAAACAGTCTGTCCTGCAGCAGTGGTTCCTAATAGGTGATCTTTGCCCTGGGTGCATTTGGAAAAACCTGGAGACATATTTATCAGATTATCTTTGAGAGGGGTGTAATGGAGCCCAGGGGAAGATGGGGTGCAGACAAAGGTCCTGCATACCCAGGCCCAAGAAAGCAACCTCAAGGATACAATGACTACAGCTCAAAGGAGATGATAGCCCTTCCCTGGAAAAAGAGACAATTTTGTAACCAGTTCAGACCACGGACCACACAATGTGGCCTACTCTCTTCTTTCAAAGTCTGCATCATCCTTCCTCAAAGGTTCCTGATGCTCTCCCTGGGGCTCCGGAGTTTGGCCACCTGGACTTAGGGAAGAGAGATGCCAGTGGTGGGAAGCTGGCAGATGGATTATGGCTTTGTTTGGTATAAGGCTTGGTGCCAGCCGAGGCTGAGGATGGATCATCAGAGAAGAGAGGTGTCTGTGCTCTTCCCACAGTGGTGCCTCCCCAAGGCAGATAAGGAATGCCAAGTATGTGCCCGCTCCCTGCATGTCTGTGTGGTCTAGTTCCAAACCAGCATGTTTCTCCTACTCTGTTCTTGGCCCCATGACCTGGAGAGAATTGGGGGTGGTTGGAGGACGTTCGTGAGAACATTCCATGAGAACATTCCAGAATCGCCTCCGACACAAGGGGAAACCATTAAAGGTCTAAGGGGATGCGGCCTCACCAGCTGAAGACAGAGCTGACCTCTAGAGGGTTGTAGGCATTTGAGGCGGCCTGAGGACAAACGAGCAGGCTCAGGATCTTGGGTGGGACTGTACTTCTGGGAGCTGTGCTCAACAGTGTTGTTCCTGCCCTGTCTTCACCAGAGCTAACAGGGTGCTAGGGTTAAAGAAAATCAGTCTTCCCCAAACTTTTCTTCTGAAAAATGGCAGCTCGGAGACACTGAGCAAGTGGCTGTGTTTTTGAGTGTCCTGTAGCCCAGCAAGGGCTTAGTTCATTTGGCTCTGCTCAAAGCCTTGGAACAGGGACAGACAAGAGGCAAATGGCCCATATAGGGAAAGACAGGGAGAATCTATACAGGTGCCGCCCCCACATTTTGGTTGTCAGGGGCAGTCCTAAGAAGGCTTCTATGTGTGGGACTGACAGCAGGGCCAGGCAGAACTTGGTCTCCATTTGCAGAGTACATGGAGGGTCTGCAGTTTGCTGTGAACCCTGACTTTAGCTCTGAGCATCATTTGTGTGAGGAGAGGATCCTAGCTAGTCCACAGCTGTCTGTTCTGGGACTTGGGGGTCCCAGGAAAAGACATCCAGCTGTGGGCTTCCGGTACAATACTCTCAAAGTGCATTTACCCCCAAAGCAGTTCTTCTAGGACAGACAGTGACCAACACAGGGTTAAAAAGGTTTCTGTAAATATTTTATTTTCCATATTTTAGAATCAGAAAGAAGCATGTGGTAATAAAAATAATAGAGAATTATTTTCTTCACATCCGTTCTGCTGCAAACTGCCAGACCCTCCAGTCCAGCCCCTTCCAGCCAGCTCCCACCAGGCCATGCAGCTCTCCGTGAGCAGCCGGTGACCTGATCCCAGTCCCATTATGTACAGATATGTTACAAGGCAAAAAAAAGAAAGATCTCAAAAAAAAAAAAAAAAAAAAAAACAAAACGCCACAAGGGCGGTAGCCCACCTGCTCCAGTGTTACAGGACCTTTCGAGAGGAGCCAGTGCTGTGTGTCCAAACCCTGCTTCGTTTTTTGACCTCTCGCAGCCCAGTCTAGGGTGTGGCATGTTCCACAGGTGGGCAGGAGTGGGAGGTGATGTCACTGTGCTTGTATGAGGCCGTATCCAGGTCCAGGGTCTTCCCGTTCACCTCCAGAGTCATGCATCCACGGTAGAAAGCAGTGACGGGTGCAGAAGTCACTGATACTTCTGAGCAGCGGGAGAGCAAACACTGAGCCAACGGAGGGAGCTCAAGCCCGGCCACACAGGACTCCCCACCCTCCATATCGCTGAGGGCCAGCCCTGCCCACACTCTCTGAAGGGTAGGGCGTGTGGTCCCCTTTTTGTTATTATATCATGGGGGATGCAGACCTTACATGCATAAAGCAATGGCCCCTAGGCCTGCAGCCGATGTTCTGTTGAGTATCTCCGTGTCTTGTGAGTTTCAATGCCCTTGATTCTTATTGGTTAAAACTAAATACCTGCCCGTTAGGGCAGGGAGTCTGCGGTTTGCTAAAGGTAAAAGTCCTGTGCATACCTGCTACCCCCATACCAGTCCTGCCTGTGTATGCAAACAGGATGCTGTTGGCTGTCCTTGCTAGCTTCTGGTAGATGTGTGTGGATGGGCAGTCACACTGTCAGCTACTAAAGCTACAGATGCCTGCAAGTATTCAGGTACCCCATTTTGCATCACCTGGTAACCGTCCCCTCTGTGTTTGGGCTCCTGGGCTCCCAGACAACACTTCAATGGATAGCTCAGAGAAATGCCTGCCCAGAGGAAGGATCGAACTGTTAA